GCTACAGCAGAGGAATCTCACAATTCTGATAGAGACCTGAACCTTTCACTCCTACAAGAAGGCTGAGGATCTGTACCACTCAGGGTCACTCCTGAGTTGGTCCTGGGGATTTAAGTGGGTGCCTTCATGGTCCCTGTCCTGAACATTTCTAGAAAGCATTTACTATTGGACAGATACTATAGAACTTTACATGTATCATTTTATCCAATAAGCAGGAATAATGAGAGGTTGGCACAATGTAGAATGCCCTGCCCTAGTCTTGGAGAGCTTTAGAACACCAGCCCCAGGTCAGCCCAGAACACAACACTGCAGCAGCTTTTGGCTCACAGAGCTTGGATCAGATTTCCCTGAGGAAGGGCTTACCCTTGTATGCTGCCCAGGTTCTCAAAGCCTGGAAAGGAGGCTGGGGCCAGTAGAAAGCTGTTCACTCTCCTCTGGCCTCACCTATGAGCTCAACAATCCTCCAGACACCAGCAGATATTCCCCAGGTGACCTTTCTCCATACAGTCATTGGATGAAAATCTAGAATTACAGCCACAACACTACAGACCAGCCGTCAGCAGGCAGGTCACTCAGCAGCCCTTTTCATTTGAATGAGATGGGGGCTTGTAGGTCTTTGCCAGTGATGACTGGGCTTAGAGGTCAGGGGTGGGAAGGAAAAGCTCAAGGCTAGGATTAGTCCACTGTTATTTGGAGATAACCCACTGTTTTATGGATTATGTTTGTATAGTATTTTATAGTTTACAAAATGCATGGAATAGATTAAGCCTTTTTAATCCTCACAACATCATTATGAGAAAGCTTATTAACTTCTCTTTGTAGCTAAGGTTCAAGAGCTTGCCAAGGTCATGCAGGTTAACCCAGGGCTTGAAGCCAGGTCAGTCTTCTGGCCCTGGTATCATCTTCCCCATCAGCACCCTCTACACACACAGATAGAAGCTAGAGGAAAAAAGAATGACTCTCTCCCTAACCCCCAGACATTGCCGAGGATACCGACACAATACTTGTTTTCAGAGAATTGAAGGTAACTTTCCCCACTTCTCTCTCTTCACACCAGTCCCACCACAGTCAAACAGTGAAGGTTGATTGGCACCTATTGTTGGCTTTACAAGAACAGATGAATTATATTTTGAACAGTGTCAGAGATACTAGAAAGTCAACAAAAGGCTGAGGTCTCCAGAGTGCATTCTGCGGCCCAGAGTGTGGCTGCTTGTGTGAACCATCCCACGGAAGCGCCAACTTTTAATTCATACCACCAAGGAGACATTGGATTGTTTCCTGGAAATGCTAATAATGCAAAGCTCATAAATACTAATGAAACACTATAGATTAGCAGAGCTCAGCAAGTAACCTAGGGGGGCCTAAAAGAGAATTCTTAGATTAAAAAATATAAAGAATACCTTTTGATCAAATTTTCCCCAGACTAGGTCCCCAAATGTTAATGAATACTCTCTTTGGCTGTGTGGAGAGCACACTCAAATAAGTACCTTTAGGAATGCAGAAGTGAGTTATTGACTTAGCCTTAGTTTGAAAAGAAATCTATTTATTCAAAGGCTATTTTAGGTGCCATGGGATGGACGAGTTTAAGACAAAGGTGGGAGGGGTAGGAGGCCCTAGGACACAGAGAAAAACACATAATTCAAATGCATGCTTTCATTTCAGCCAACTAAGCAACCTCAGTTGGAGTTTGCTTATTATATTTGTCTTTTATGACATGATCCTTCAATAATAATAACTTCCCCAGAATATACACAGCTCCATGATGTCAGAAACTATAACTGTCACTCATTGCTGAATCCGCACTACCTAACAAAGAGCATGGCACATATTAGGTGTCCAATAAATGTTTGTTAAACAGATACAGGGCTCTCCTAAAACATTTACTGCCAATGCCAGAAAACTATTTATCTCTTTATATGGCTAAATATATTTTTCTTTCCTTGAGAAGTGGAAACGACACACAAAAGCAAAATGGTTTTCTCCTTTTACCATAAATGCCAGGTAATTCAGAACTATTTCACTGTACATCTCATAAGATCTTTAGGTGAACTAATAAGTTCTTTTTCCTTAAAAGAAAAAAGAAAAAAAAAACATGTTCCAGAACTTTTTATATCTTGCAATCTATTCCTAAAGGGTAGCTCTGATCACAACTACTGTTACAAAGTTCCCAAACGAATGCCCATCTCTGCTCTGTCCCTGACTTACCCGTCTAGCTTGTCTTCAGTCATCTCTGCTCCTACCCTGAGCCCCAGGTTCATCAGATGTTCTGTTCTCCCACTCAGGCTCTAGAAATTTCTCTGCCTAGAACATTTGAACCTACATTTCTCTGTCAAAATCCTACTTATAATTCAAGGTTCTTCTTAAATGTCTCCACTTTCACAAAATCTTCTCTAATGTTCTAAAGCTCACTGCCCTTCCTGTCTTCCATAGCTGACCCCAAGCATGGGCCTTTGGTGCTCTTCTGTTCCCTACAGGGACCAGTATCACCTGATGCAGAATAACCAGTGTTCTGATTATCAGTGCTTGTGGTGGTGACGTCCTCTCACGTGAATCACAGATTATACATGCACGAAGCACTTGGTCCCAGGAAGGGTATGTGTAGGATCAAAGCAGAGAAAAGCACCCAAAGTCTTTCACAGTAAATGAGCCAAAACTTCATGATACAAGGCTGAGGTAAAAGCAAAGGCCACAGCCTAAGAGAAGGAAAGCCCAGAAGTAAGGGAGTGGTGTGAAAGAGGGTTTATAGGACACCAGGGAGTGCTTTTCTCTACAAAGAGTGAGTGCCTGGTGGTGTGTGGGCAAATCCATGTCATGAGATGTTCCTGGGCCCCAAGAGGGGCTTTGGAAGAGGCTCCAGTGAGAGGATGAGGCTTCATTTCTCTGTTGCATATTGAATTTAAATGTGGGCAGCCATGTGCTTTCTATAAACCTGCACTTGGGCAGGTCTCCAGTTTTATTTTATATTTCTTTCAGCATTTGGCAAGTGCCTAACAATGGGAAGTAAATCTCTTTGCAGCCTTTTCTACAATAGACTGGGATAAATGTTTAAGTCAGTCTGAGGAATAGCCAAGGATTGTAAGATTCTGCAAGTCCTGGGCTGCTTGCCAAAAATGGGTTAATTCCATACAAAGGAATAGGAGGCCCCAGAGCAACGCCTGCAAATAGCTCACCTCTTAGAGATCTGGAGCCAGACTCCTCAGGAGCAAGGCCAACTCAGCCACTTGTGACTTGTATCTTCATCTCTTCCACTGCAGAACAGAGGAATCGTGGAACCTATTCCACTGGACTGTAATGAAGATGAAGTGACTTAATAGGAGTAAAGTGCCTAGATTTATAAAAGTTAGCTAAAAATATCGTTGTCCTCTCACAGCACTGCGTCAGTCTCTGCAGGCAGAGGGGCACAGCATAAAGTGCCAATTTGTATAACTGCAAAAATTGTGCAAATTATCCCCCCAGGAGTGGGACAGCATGCCACCTGACCAGAACTAATGTCAGGTGCGGCCTGTGTGGATCCTCAGGCACTCAGCATGTGAGACATTTATAGAGCATGTTTTCTAAGGAATGAGATCTCAGGGAATGAGATCTTGGGGGTACTGCGTATAACACACCACCCAAGAGGGCCGCAGCTTTATCCTCCAAGTGCAGGGCAATAAAAATAAGCTTGAGCTAACCTTGAATTCTGGACCTAGGCCCCATCGTGCATCTGTCCACGTCACTGCACCATCCTGTTGCTCGCTTAAAAGACAAAATGCATGTGAAAGGGATTAGAAAAATATCAAGTGAAATAAATCACAAAACAGTATTATCATCTTCAGTTCTTCCACTTGCCAGCCCCCTTGCAAGAGCACTGGACTTGTTATGCAGAAGTCTGGCAGCTTTCTGTGGCTCCAGACATGTCACCTCCCTACTCTGAGGTTTATATTTGTCATCCTTAAGTAAGAGTTGGTCAGGATGATTTCTAAGCCTCCAGCCCAAAAATCAATGACCCTGATATTTAGGTCCAGTGAAATGTCTTGCACCAAGAATTTTCTTGAATCATGTCTGTCCTCAAAGTCTTGTTTGGACCTAACAATCCATGGATTCTAGATCCCAAGGAAGTCTCTGCGACCTTATATTAAAGAGCTGAGCCCTAAGACACATGTGGAGAGGTGGAGAGGTGACAAAGGATGAGGAGAATAGTCCCTGCTATACACTGAGGTCAGCGTAGGAGCAGAGAGGCGTCCTGAAACCCCACTGCAGTTTCCAAGGAACTTCAAGGCCTCTTTCCCCATGGAAGAAAGGGAACAGGTAGGACGGAGCCTTGGGGACAAAGCAACCAAAAGCAGAGAGAAAGTAAGGAGGGAGAAGAAGGGAGAAAGTAGAAGCAGACATAGAAGTGGGACATAAAGAGGGGAGGAAAAATGGAGCAGGGAAGAAAGCAAGCAGACAGGAAGGCAGGCATGAGGCAAGGTGAAGACTGATGACCTCTTATCCTTGAGAAGGCCCAAGGTCTCCACAACAGTCAGCAAAATGTAGCCATTTCGTCTTGTGCTTATACATTAATAGGCATCAAAAATGCCAGGTTATGTACATAGGTCAGATACCAAACTGTCCCATGGGGCATGTGTATTCAACACCTGTCTGGTGAGCTGCAGTGAAGAAAAGATCAAGAACCGCCACTGTGTAGGGTCTAGGGAGCCATCCCCTAACCAGAACACAGGATATACACATTGATTCCTTTATCCAATAATTCTCGATCACCTACTGTGAATCTGACTGGGTATAATATTAATTCTTTTATCCTAAACTCAGCATTGTGTGTCTACATAGCAGGAACTAGTTAGTGCTTATTGACTAAATGCATGAGTTTATCTTGTTTATTGAGTTTTAATACAATTTCAGTGGACTCTTTGGAAATCTTCAATTTCCTCCCCTTTCTAAGCCTAAAATCTATGATGCTGTTAAAATTATAGACCATTCCCATTGCATTTCTCTTGAACTGCCTGCTTTATTCTCTTCAGGTTTTATTTGTGGCATGCTCAAACTCAAAGCTGAAAGAAGAATAAATTCCAAGTGTCGAAGGTTGTGTCCTCTTGAACCCAGGACTTGCTAGTGAGTTGCAAAGAACCTCTGTCCCCATACTAGCCAAGCACTATGGAGAAAATCAGCTCTTTCTTCAGCTCTATCTGGGACACCATCCTGACCAAACACCAAGAGGGCATCTTCAACACTATCTGCCTGGCTGTCCTCCTGGGGCTACCATTATTGATGATCCTCATCCTCTTCTTCGTCTGCTGCCATTGCTGCTGGAGCCGAGCAGGCAAGAACCACCAAGAGCCAGAACGACACAAGAAAAAGAAGAAGGATGAAGAAGACCTCTGGATCTCTGCTCAGCCCAAGCTTCTCCAGATGGAGAAGAGGCCATCACTGCCTATTTATTAGCAGTAAGCACAGGTGTCCTTCCTCTGGGGCCAAACCTCCTTCCAACTACACAGAGACTTCTCCCTGAGAAGGACTCCCTGAAATGATGCACTCATGTTCACAGAGTAACTACTCAACCGAGGCACAAATCTCAGACTGAGTGTCCCAGGGGAGCACATGAACAGTTCTTGCCCTGCCTTGGCAGCTCTGAGCCCAATAGCAGTGCTTTTTGCTACAGAACCAGACATGCATTTCACCTGTCTCTGGCATACTCCATAAATAAAAGCACAAGGGACATCCATGTATACATGTTGATATGGCTTCCAAGTGTACACACATACTAGTAACTGCAAATTCAGACAGCAGGTACATGGGCAAATGTATTCCATTCATCAGATAGCCACTGAACGCATACTTCAAGGAAGACAGTACAGAAATGTCTCATGAGTAAGTGTGCCCAGGTGTAGGGAAATATACACAATTATATAGACAGGCAAGACTCCTGTCTGTTGCATCTACCACACAGGATGGAGATGAATGCTTTCCTATTCCCATATTTACATAGCTTTTTACTGGAATATTCACATGTGGACATTCCAGCGACCTGGTACTGTCCTCTCCCGGTATATCTTGATACGGACACACCAAGTTACCTGTACCTAAAAGTTTAGAGTGTGATGGATTAATACTCACGGACAGCTCTTTTCTTGGAACTAATGACAAGGTCCTCATTACCACTAATGGATGTTTAATGTCCAAGACCTCTCCAGGATGCTACCCCTTAACCTAGATAGACTTTTCCAAGCAAGAACAAACAAAACACTCTTGGCAGTGACTACTAACAAGTTATGAAAAGCCACTCTTTTACTTCAGTGGGCTGCAATTGTGTAGCTGGGCAATGCATGTTTTATAGATGTAAAGGGTAATTAGGTGCTGCACCAGAGCTAGGTATCTTCTTTGTGTCCCAAGGTTTGCAGTAGGGAAGGAATTAAAGACAGTCACCAGTCCAGTCTCAAAGAAGTCACACCGGAAATGACTTCACGAGTGTGCAGTGGGTGCATGGTATGTTGCAAGAATGCAGGAGTAACAGTTTCAATGAAACTAGGCTGAAGCTATAAAGCATTTATTAATATTTATCTTGAAGCTCAGGCAAGTAGGTACTCATAACTGTGGTTGCTGTTGGCCATGTGATAAGGTTAAGCGTAAGCTTGTAATACCTCACCATTCCCCCAAGTGACCTTCTCTTCAGCGAGAGTCCCCTAATTGCTGCAGTGGACCAGACTAGGTGTTGGTTTGCAGGACAGTACATGCAGAGCCAGAGGCTGAGCTCAGTGACACAGGTGCCCTGAGGTACATGCGGACGTGTAAACATGATCTGCAGTGAGTCGCAAGTTTCTCCCCTGCCCCAGGCTGAGGTTCAGAAGCAGAGTTAATGCACCTCCATGATGAGCTGGTTGTGTTTTGATTCTACTGTGACGACATTACAAAGACAGTTCCCAACTTGGGAGTAGATTGTATTCTAAGAGTTCATTTGCAAATCTGCTGGGGAGCTTTCTAGAAATATTTCCCATGGAAGCTGTTCTCGACAGTGGCAAAATCACTGTCTAATTAATAAGATAGCTAAGCTATGACAGTTATAGTAGCAAAAAAACCAAATCCAATAACGGTGTGAGTGGAAAGATGTACTGTTTGCTCACTCCACTCCGGTTACCTGGCACTTACCTGTCCTCCCAGTGTACCCCGGCCCCTGGAGAGGGGCTATCTGCTAGTGACTGTTATCAGGATCGCCTAACTGACAGCCATGTGAATCATAACTTAGGCCTGCATGTATTTTCGAGCCGGTCGCCCTTTCACTCTACATAGCCCTAAATTCCCTCGGCATTCAGGCCTGGGCATTGTGAATATCCATCCCCTTGTCACAGGGACAGCTTGCACTAGAGCACCCAGCTGTCCCCTGCCTGTCACAGGACGGCGGTCTTCTCCCACACCACATGCCTCCCATGCCTACTGCTGCCCACCAGGACGAGTCCTTCCCATCTTCACCTCTCAGTCCACACAAAGATGACTTGGGGGAGATGTGGGAGCTGACAGCCAAGATGGGGTGTCAGATATGATCCTGGAGAGTGGATCACCTGGATTGGGGACCATGGTTGCTGTGGCAACCGGCTGCCAGTGTGAGTTAAGACAGCAGTCAGTTGTCATTGCTGAGACAAGGCCTCTGTCTCGAGCAGCGTACCCTGCTGTCTCCTAATCGAGTGGACTTGCTCTCCAGCTCCAGCCATGAAACACCCAGAAACTTACTTCTCCGTTGCTTCCATAGCATGGGACCCAGAACCCCCAAATGGAGTGGGATTTATCTCCCACCCCAGCCTTTATGGAGCGCCTAGAGTAGTGTCAGGCACTTGATCGAGCCTCACATTCTTACTGGATCCAAGGAAACAAGAAAGGAGCTAAGGCTGATGTCCTTTCCCTTTTCTTCTCACCTTATCCTTATCTCTTTCCCATTCTTCTCTTACCCCCTTTTCCCCTTTTTCACCATGCCAGTTCTGTCCCTTTATTCCTCCTCACTTTTACTGGTGATCGGTGGAACCCACCAGCCCATCTGGGGAGGCTAAGTTAATGAGGAACAGAAATGATTCATACAGAAGAGGCTTCCTAAGCAGCACAAGCTCCAAGAGGACCCCCTCATCCCCTCAACCTGGCCTGTACTTCAGAACAGCCTCAGCCAGCCTCAGGCGGCATCCGAGGTTTTTTTCTCCGTTGCTCAATGAAATTGCTTTTTCTTTTTTTAATCTCAGGGGGAAAGAAAAACAATGAGGAAAATGCATAAAAAGTCTCCTTTAAAAGAAGAACATAAGTGGTCAAAGTTGTATATAGTATTTGTCAGTATTTTTTCTGTAAAGTTCAGACACATAAAAAGAAAACATTTATTTAAATAAATATTTTGAAAATTAAAAGCTGTGCCTAGCCTCCTTACTTATTGCAGTCAGTTACCTCTTTAACATGAGGGATTACTCCTGCTTGGCCGTCACTCAGAAATGATGGGTGCACGGACTTTCCCTCTGGGACACAAAAGGCGCTGCCCTGCCTGGTCCGCTGTATTCTCCCAGTAGAGTCAGAGGTTGGAAAACTAGGACTGTGGCTCTTTTACCCACTTTGCAAAGCCGACAGCCTCAGATGAAACCCTTCAGAGACGGCAGCTACAAGAAAGTAGTGATGTTCCTTGGCAACGTGTATTAGTTTTCATCTCTGGGATACCCATGATTTAAAAGAGAAACTTATTTTTGGCTCATGGTCTCTCAGGTTTCAGTACAGGATCAGTTGACTCCAAGACACAGAGACATTGTACCAGAACTGCATGGCAGAGGAAGGCTCCTCTCCTCAAGATGGCCAGGAAGCAGTGGATGGGGGAAGAGCCAGCGAGGAAGTAGCCTGGGACCAGACACAGTCCCCAAGGTTACAGCCCTATGACCCACTTCTTTCAACTAGGCCCTACCTCCTAATAGCCAAGTTAGCCCTCACAATCCAGTCACCTCCCCAGGATTAAGCCAGTCAAGTTGACAGTCACAAATAAACAGCACTTAGAGAACATTCCCTTCAAGAAGATCAGTGTGTTCTTATAGGGAAGGGAGGGCACAGCAGAGACCTAGCAAAATTAGGCCTCTGGATTAATCTGGTGCGACAAGAGGATCAAGAACCTCTACAGTAAGCACGCATGTGCATGCACGCGTATAAACGTGCACCGTGTTTTCAAGCTCACCACAGCTTCATGTTTGTTATGAAATGAAATGATTTATATACTCCTGATCCCTCTCTTGGTAATGCTAAGCTTGCCATCAGAGCAGAAGCCACCTGAAGCAGTACTGTCCGGGAGAACCAGGAATGATGGAAATGTCCTCTGTACTTTCTAATATGGTACCTACCATGAGCTACACGTAGCTGTTTAAAATCTATAAAATCAAATAAAATTAAAGATCCACTAGCTCAATTATGCTAGCCATATATCAAGTGCTCCACAGCCAGCTGAGACTGGCAGCTCCCGTCCTGGACACCACAGGTCTTTCCTTTCATGGGAAGAGCAGGCAAATGTGTTGGCAAAATGCTGTGCTGACTGTACTTAGGGAGGGAGGGCTTAGGAAGGAAGGCTACAGTGCACACTCCCAATCTTCCCTGTTTCCTCCCAGGCAGGTGATTTGTGTAGTTCTAGTTGATTCCTGGGTTCCCTTCCCTGTCACCCACACTCACGACAGCCAGGGAACAGAGACTTCATTCAGTTTCCTATTCATTTCTTCAGAACATTCCTGGACCTTCCTGAGCAGAGCCAGGATGTTGCTCAGAAATCACCTGGAGACGGAGGAGTAGCTGCCACACACTTGAGGGGAGCTAGAGCTAAATGCTGTGAGCCCTACCTACCCGGCCACACTCTGGGATGTAAATGTGGATTTACACGATGCCATCATCCATCAGTCTTCCCAACTCTCTAGAGCACTTCTGCTCAGGCCTCTTACCCTCTGACCTTAATATTACCTCCATATTCAAAGTCATAGGATTCTAAGACTAAACAAAGAATCACTTCAACCAGCTTCCTGTTGCCATTTTAGTTTCAAAAGGATGTTTTCAAATGCCTCTGTGGGAAGCCCTACAAAGAGACACTTTACTCAGGAAGGGCTGTGTGCACCTGTATCTACCCCCTCCTTGGGCTATTTATTCCAGAAACAATTTTGACTGCTTACTATGTGTGAAGAGTCATCTTGACGGTCAGTTTGATCGGCCTGAGAGACGCCGAGGGGATTCGTGAAGCACACTTCTGGCTGGGCGCTGGGGTTGTGACTACCTGGTCCCTTGCTTCTCCCTCTCTCTCTTCCCTTCTCTCTGCTTTCTGGAGGCCATGAGGTGAGCAGCTTTCCCCCATCATATCTTTCTGCCAGGATGCTTCTTCCTTGAAGCCAGCTAACTAGGGATGGAGCCTTCTAACACAGTAAGCCAAAAGCAAATGCCTAAGTTTTGTCTGTCAGATATTTGGTCAGAGCAACAAAAAGCTGATGAATGTGCTATACACAGAGCACTATCCTGCTATCCAGGGCACTGGATACTAGTTCGCTACTAGTGATGTGAACTTGTCCTGCAGGGGCTTCCAGCCTGGCTGAGGGGACAGACACACGAATAAACCACTGCAATATAATGTGGTCCACCTTCCTTAGTGTGGAGCCCCAAAACCGGACAGGACAGGCTGCCAGGAGCACACACAAGTACAGAGTAACACAGGAAGAAGTCGAGAGAGGAGTGCGGTTTGCATGGCTGGCAACGTGAAGGTGCCCTCGGAAGTGGTGATGCAGGGGACAGCCTGACAAGGGCCATATAGAAACCTTCCTAAGTGCAGTGGGCTAGGACTCGGGGGACTAGAGTGGTCTCAAACCGGATGCCAACTCTCACTGGTTACGTAACTCAGGCTGGTGACTTGATCTCCCTGTTAAGACTGATCTGCAAAGCAGAGCTAATGACAATCCTTATCTCCTAGGAAGAAGATTAAATGGGATTTTGCGCATATAAAGCATTTAACACGGGGCCTGGCTTACACAAAGCCCTCAATAAATATTAGGCATTATTAGTAAGAGTAGGAGAAAAACCACGAGAGAACTGTGTCCTGGGAGTCAAAGAGGAGAAACTTTCAAGGAGAAAGCAACAGCCCATACAATCAAATGATGCCGACAGGTCAAGCGAGAAAAGGATTCTCCTTGACTTTTACCAACCTTTCTCTTTCTCCCCTTGTCTTTCTTCTATTGTGAACCGTATAATCCTGTTGGCTATTCATATCCTTAGAGCTGGCTAGAGATGCACCTCCATCAAGGAAAAAATAGCCTCAAAAGTTTTGAATGAAAGTATAAAGACTTAAAGATCCAACCTCACTATCTTACCACTTCAGAGGGCTTTATAATACACAAAGAGCACTTGCATTATCTTCTTCAAGCTCTA